AGTCTAGAAGAGGATGTTTATAAATAGTGAATTTCCTGTGGTTAAACATTTTTCACCCCCTCTACAGTTAATGGCTTTGTTTCCCTACAGCTGCTGGAGTTTGGTCATTCTAATAATTGTCATTTGTTGCTTGTTCAGCAGAAGGAATGTATGTTAAGTCCAAAAAAAAAGTATCAAATTATTATCTCTGCTCTAAGGAGCTCTACCCTTTGAGCACACGCTGCTTGTGTGTATTTGTGCTCCCAACCCTAGGAACTGAAGATGGAGAGGGAATGAGGTAAGGACAACACCCAGCACAGCCTGAGAATCAGGATGTGTGATGAGACTGTCACTGTTGGCATCAAAGCTGTAGGAAGCAAATGGTTAGTCCAAGGAAGTGAACGACAGGAGCAGCTGGTGGCATGGATGGCTTGAGGACAAATATGAGTTCTGAATCACTTGTGCCCACAGTGATGTTATAAACTGGTGGTTTGGACAAAAAGAAGAGGGACAAATTGGAAGATAATGCCCTTCTTAGATATAGGCAGGAGATGCTGTTCAGGAAGGGGAAGTCATCCCTGTGGGATGCAAAGCAGGGTGACTGGTTATCATCATTGATCAAAAGGAGACAATGGATTAGCAGTAGTTAAATTGGATAAGTGATGGGGAAAACACGTAGGGCTAACCTTATTTGGAAGGGTGGTTGTGTTGGCAAATAGTCAAAGATATTTTTGTATGAACCTCTAAATAGTACAAGGATTTTGGAGGACAGGCCTTGAATCGAAGGCTGTAGAAACAGCAAGAATCCTTGGTAAACTTAACATCACTAACCACAACAGCTTCATACAAAAAGCATCTGTCCCTAAAAGCTGACTTCAAAAATTTAACACAGATAAGGAATAAACAAAATCCAGTTTTAGGTGAAAGGGAAGGGGCACCTGATAATATGTTTGCTAGCAGGTGAACTTGAAAAATACCAGCTCTTGTCTCTGATTTCACAAGATCATGAGAGTTTTGAGGGCTGATGAAATGCAGCACAGCTTATCGAGATTGTTCCATGTCCCAGTTTGGTTTCACAACCTTCTTTTCCATTTGCATTATTTCACAATAGAGTCTGAGAGGTAAGAAATAAGCATGTAATTTCTTCTTTCCTTGACTGTTAGGCCTTAAACTTCAGAAGGGTACACAGTCATAATTTTACACTCGAGCTGCACCTTGCTGTGTTGCTCACTAATATATAAGGAATTTTAAACTGGGATAATGACTTTGCTTTGGTTGCAACACTTCATTTTAATGCACTTCACCATTTGGCCGTTTTCCCTCACTGATTGATATTTTGGGTGTGTTTTTTTTTTTATGTTCCCTCCAGTTGAGGGAATACAACATGCATTTATTTTTGGTGATGCTGTTTATAAACATGCAGCCTTACGTGTGTATGTTACAAACGTCTATTTTAAAGAAAAAACTGGCTAAAGTCTTAGAGCATCTTTAACAACTGATGGCACACAGCTCCTAAGTTTTGGGTTGCTGTTCTGAGTGTGTGTTCCTCTAGCAAAATTAGAGTTGATGGCATATCCACAGGCTGGGGCTGTTGGAAAGCCTTAGGAGCTGTATATGTGAAGCAGTATTAAAAAATGAGATGGTTTTCTGGAGACTAGATTGTGTAGAGATATATCTGGTGGTAAGCCAGGCAATCCAGCAATAAGTAATAGAGAGAAAGCTGACCTTAGGACTCTGCCTTGGCTCTGCAACTTTCACCTCTAGAACTGCTTTTGGTCTGTAAATTGTTTTTCGTATAAAGTGAGTAGTGGTGATGTGAAGAGGGGAACTGAGCATTGTGCCGTTGGGAAACCGATATATGTAGCATTTATATTAAATATATGTACCTTGTGGGTATGCTTGGGTGTTTTTATCAGTCCACTTCCTCGTTGTAAACTTGCTTATGTTTCTTCAGGGGAAAATGTAATTCATGAGACACTGACATTTTAAAATACTGTCACTAGAATGAATATTCCTCCCCACCTGCAGTGAGTGTTGGCAACACTTTGTTGAGAAGGCTGTGGCTTAGTCAGATAAAGTGAAAGATAATTAATTTTTAAAATAATTTTGAGTATTTGATACATCCTCAGAACATGGCATTTTGTTCTGGTCTTGACTTTTTATTGAGCTAATGAACAAACAGGATCATAAGGAAGAAAATAAACCTATGTCTGCTGTTTTGAGTCTTATGTGTGTTGTTGAGGATGCTACACTGAGGTACATAAAAAACAAGATATCTGCTTTTTTTGCTTTTGGTTTTAGTCCTGTTATTTAGCTGTTAACATCTGTTTTGGCCAGCACAGGTACCTTTGGCTTCTACTTCCAAATACATAGGTGTGTTTGTCACTAAGTGCCATCTGTGTAGGTGATACTGGACTGCATGGTGGCCATCTAAACCAGAACATCAAACATTTTTTAGTGCCCTGAATTTTAGATTGTGAAATTTCATCTTTTGTTAAAGACAAGCTCTAATGGGTGGTATGTGCTGTAGCACCATGTGCTGTGTAGTGTTGTTCACAGGGCTATGACATTATGTAAAAGCAGAGTATTTGGGATCATTGGGATCAGTGGTATTCCTCCTTTTGGTGTACAGGGCATCTGTCTTACTTGTATCTGTAGAGGAAAAGTACTCCCAGTTAGCCTGGCACCTGATCAGAGCAGGTTTGCCACTTGTTTGATTGGGATAATTCCCTTGGTTTCTGCTTTATGGCTACCACTAGATAGTGGTGCACAGAGCAATTGGAATAACAAGTGAGGTGTGCACGTTAAAGTGGACACAGAGGGCTCCAGTAAAGACAGGTTTGCTAGTGTTGTACTTTCTTTGAGGAAATTTGTGTAAAAATTTAAGTAAAAATGTAAGTGATGCCAGGCTGGCACACTTGACTGCTTGGCAATGGGAGGAGACATCCCTCGTGCATGTTGTGTTGATCTGGTTTGCTGCTCGGTGAGAAGATCTATTACAAACCCCTGCAGGCAGTAGGACTTAATTTAGAAGTAGCTGTTTGTGTAATCTGTGAAGCAACTATTTAAGTGTGTTGCAGATCTCTTCATGGTGGCTTCCCAGCCCTTAGTTTTGCTCCAGTACAGGTTTATCGTTACCTTACCAGAAGACAAATGTTCCGTGAGAAGGTTAAATTTGTGTGACTGACTCCAGCAGAAGAAGAAAAAAAAAAAGCTCTTGGTATAGTGTCTGGAATGGGTAGAAAGGCCTGTTTTAGCACAGTTCTTTGCAGAACAGGAGGACCTGAGGCTGTGCACAGAGCCTTTGTGTACAGATCCTGGTTTGTCTTTTGCAGCTCTTAATTCACTGCTTATACTGAAAATCTGTTCAAAACTCGAACTAGGTGTTTCGGGGGAAGAACTCTTCAAACTGGCTTTGAAGAGCAGTGTTTTCCCCTAAAAATTCTAGGGGCTCAGGCATTTCCAACATCTCAATACTTTATTTTACTGCCCTTAAAACTGGAAGCAAAGCTTAGTAAGCACTGTACCATTGGCACTTCATAGACTTTGTTTCCCCAGAGACTTCCTTCCCCCTCTTGGAGAGCGGTTCACAGCCTGAACTTATGACAAAGAGGAAAAGGGACAAGAAAATATTATCTTTCTTGTTTATAGGCTTCTGCACAGAGGAACTGACTCTGAGGGCTTTTATCAGTGTCCTTCCGGAGACTTTGACATGTTTGGATGGGTCTGTTTTGGTTTACATTTAGGTCCCTGTAACTTTCAGTTCATGGAGTAATTGACTGTTTCATGGCTTTGAGGGTGGGTACCACTTTGTCTCCTCTCTCATGAAAAGTGCTGTATTTTTAATAGGTTTGGGTTTGGTTTTGTAGTTTCTTTTTTTTTTCTTTCCAATGGGTGTTTTAAGAAAGCACATCTGCCTTTACTAATCTGTTGGCCTTTTCCAATTTATTATTTGTGCAAATGACTTTGTGAGGTGGGACTTTGTCAATCCAAGATTTGAGAACCTTGGGCAGTCACAGTGCTTTGTACAGCAGTTTAGTTATGCCTTAGAGATAAACCTTGAGATTTAATCTTTTGGAGTGAATGGATGTCACTGAGGAAATTGTTAGACGTGTGGATTGTGTAGAAATTAATTCCCTTAAAAACAGGGGGTGGAGGGAGCTGGTGGTATCTTTGCATCACTTTAATATCTGCTTTCTTTTTAGGCAGTTCCTTGTAGCTGTGGTAGATTCATGCAAGGTATCCTTAATTTTGTGCCGTCGAAATGTTAAAAAAGTTGTCATTTGAAAGGAAATGCCTCAAGGTTTTCAGTCTATACATATAACTCCTTCAACTTCCTATGCTGTTGGGTTTTTTAAATTAAACACTCTGATTATGAGTGTTTTTGTACATATATCTGTATCAGATTATTGTATTTGATTGTGTAGAATACTTGTGCTTTATTCCCAGTAACAGCCAAAATGAGCTCTGCTCAAGAGAGATTTTTATTGGTAATAATATTTAAAAGAGAAATAATAAATAGTGAATACCCTGTTTTATTGTAATAAGATGCATCTGTCATGGTTGTTTTGTTCAAAAGCAAGAAAAAAGTTGAGCAGTGTTGTGGTCTTGTCTTAGAGATATAAAAATTAACTAAAAATTGCCTACACCTTGCTGTTTCCTTTCAATACAAGCACTGAACTGAGGTGCACAGGTGTATAAGATGTCAATGTCCTTATTTTTTGTATACAAATACATAGATTTCTTGTTTCCTGCCTGTATACAACTCTTGTGTCCAGCACTGCACTACCACTGAGTCGCCCTTCCAAAATTCAGCACAGCATAAGAAACCTGGTTAGGTCCACTTTACTCCTGTAGGATCCCCTGGAATAGTGAGGCACAGTGCATGAGCTGCTTGGATGGTCACTTCCTCAGAGAGCACACAGAGACTAATTATTGCAGTAGTATTTCCACTGCAATGTGAGCCTTTGCTTTGTGGGGATATTCACGGTAAATCCTAGTTTTCTGTGTTTCTCTTTCAGTATGTATGACCAATTGCCCTACTCTGATTGTCATGGTGGGTCTCCCAGCAAGAGGAAAAACCTACATCTCGAAGAAGCTGACACGCTATTTGAATTGGATTGGAGTGCCTACAAAAGGTGATGGGTTTACTTTTGTTTACATCAGAAGGACAGGGCAGGCATCAGGTGTTTTAAAAACCCGATTTCCAGTAATTTTGTTGCTAACATTGACTACTTTAAAATCCTGCTTTTGTATATTTAAGCAATAACATACACAGGCTCTCTGTCCTATTTAAATGTTAACCAATTTCTGGCGACTGTTTATTTACCTCCTTGTTCTGCCAGGTACCTAAGTCAGCTCTTTTTTCCCTTATTCCTTACCACTGCCCTTTATTTTCGTTTATTTAATTATTTTTTCCTGCTATGCCTTCCCCATTCTTTATGTGGGTGAAAATGAACCTTGTTTACAAGCAGTTGAGCAGTCAGCACTTCTGGATTAAACTTCCGACTTCTCCCTCATTTTTTCTCTGTGAACTTTGTGCCACATGTAATTCTCTGTCCACTTCTTTGTTTAACTGCATTTGTGGAGTGACTTACAGTTTTCTGTGTAAATATTAAGAGCCCAAGGAACTGAGGCAGCCACTTGCCACTCGTTATCACTCTCTTAAGGATTTATATCAGTGTTTTGAGCAGTAAATGGTTCAGGTTGGCTGTGACAAGGACCTGGCTGTCCTGCCTCATTCCTGTGCTCCTGTGGTATCTTGTGGACCCAGACTGGCAAGTAAACAAGACCTAAGTTCATTTCAGGTTCTCATGCAACCTTTGCCTTCTCCTCTGTCTCTGTAGAACAGAAAAAATAGAAACTTTTAGTGTTCTGTGATCCTGTGTCCAGTGCAGTAATGGTAGCTTTATTGTTATGCCTCGTTGATCATTTAAAAAACATTAAACATATGAAATCATACTGAAGTTTTGGCTGGATATTCAGAGATGTGTTTCCTAGTAGCTCTAAGAAGACAAGATGAAGAGTTCTGGCCTATATTTAAACTGCCTCTTGATTCTAGGGTATAGCTTTTTGAGTTGGCGTTTTCTTAAGCTTTTAGAAACTTGCCTGATGTGCTTTATTTAGAAGAGACATTATGGAGGATATATTGTATTGTTTAAGTGTGAGAATTTACAGGATGTTTACGGGATTTAAATTATCACTGGAGTTTGACTGTTTTCACGCAGTTTAACCCTTCTGATGGGCAGTATCAGAAACTTGGAGAGTTTGGTTTTATCTGTTAGGCTGAAATGGAGTAACAGTCTAACTAGTTTAGCCTATATCCAAGCTGATAAAATATATGTGATATAACTATGCTTGTATGTTAGATACACATTTAACCTAAATTTATGTAGATATGTTAAGTTTATATGTCATTGTGTAGAGCACTTCACTGTGTGAACTTTGAAAAGCAGGAGTCCAGTATTGGACAACAACAAGATATTGTCCACATCTGGCTCATGCTTGGTTGAATATATCCCAAATACAGTAAAATGGGTAGGTGTGGTTTGCCTCAGTTACAGGAAAAGGTCCATAGGCCACTGTGAGCAGCACCTCAGAAAACACATGCACTTGTGCTTAATGAAAACTAGAGCACTGCTGCCTAATTTAAAAAAAAATATACCACATAAAGTTGCCATATGAGCTTCCATGCTAAGTTGCTGATTACTGTTAGTCTTTGTTAGAAAGGATGACTTGAGGTTCTCTTGGAAAACCACAGAGCCTTCCTGTTTGTGTCATCAATGATGCAATTGTGCTGGAGTTGAAATCAGTGTGAACCCCCTCAGTGCCTGACTGAGGGAATAGATGACACACTGCCTAATGCTTCCAGCTGATGGGACTGAATCAATACAGGATCAGTATCTAGTAGCCCTAACATCTGTTACCCTTTGGCTCTTAATGTCTTAAAATTAGTGTGTGCTTAATTTAAGGAGTGTTCTTGTTCTCTGAGACAGATGGTTCAAATTAGGAGGTTATGTAAACCAGAGGAAAAGATAAATGCCCTCTTTCCATGTAACATTAAGCCAGCTGGAGAGCTCAAGAGCAGAAGGTGGAGGTAAATATCCTGGGGTTGGTGTTAGTTGAATCATTTCAGCCATCAGTTCTGTGTTTTCTTCCTTCCAAAGTCCGCTGTTGTTTAGAATGTGAAATGGTTAAAAATACTGAGGACTTTTGTCTGGGCTTTCTGAAGGAAATGAGGTCAATTAGATGCCTGAATAGAATTGTGTTGCAATGTGGTTTTTAGATACTAAACCTTGGAAGCTTTTTTGAATAGTTGTGGCTGTGTGGTAGTTTTAGTGATACCCGTTAGCTTTAGGAAACTTTTTCCATAGGGATGGATGCTAATAATAAGGGCAAAAGATTGTCCCACTAGATAGCACTTCTCCTTTGCTGTGCAGGACCCTCTTGCAGTAACTGTTCCTTCCTATGAAATTCATTACTTTTGATTTTTAAAGGCCTATTACCTGACAATGCTGGCCATCTGATCTTGCATCTTCTGTTTTTCTTACCAGGACCCACCTTTTCATGTGGCCAGTGATCGTTAAAACCATCACAGAAATAACCTGGGTTGTTCTACAATCCAAGCCATGCAGTTGACCATGAAAAATTCCATCAACATTGCTGAATTCAAACAAAACTTGACTTTTGGGGAAATAAGCAATATTTGTATCTTTATCCTCTGCCCCCAATCCCAGCAGCAATCTGTATACAGCAGCTGGTTCTTGAGCTGTTTTATTCTATGTCTTTTCTTTTTAATTACAACTCTACAGTTGTGTCTGTTGCTTCTTTTCCTCTTTCCAGAAATCAAGTCTGCCAAATAGCTGTACCTTGGCAGCTTCTCAAACAAAATACTTCAGTGTGATCTACTGTTACAAAAAAAAAAAAAAATAGAAAGAGCTTTGTAGTTCAACAGAAAAAAAAGCTATAGGTCAGAAACAACTTAAACATTAATTGCATTTCAGAGACCTACTTTCAGAGCCTTTGAATGAAATTAATTAGGGTTCAGTGTCATTGTCTGCTCCGTAGCAAACCAGAACTGTCTTGCCCTAATGCCATACCCAGTATTGTGACATTATTTTTTTAAAATGTTTTGGTTTTTTTGTTTTTACAGTGTAAGGTTTGTGTTTTTTTTAAATAAATAGAACAGGGGTTGTGACATAGGGCGTACTAATCCTTAAGGAATAGAAGTATTTGAGTGGGGTTCTGAAAACAAGTTTCCACTGCTCGAATTCTAGGTTTTGTTTATCAAAAGCAAGATTGGTTAGTTCTTTTTAGAACTCTTCCTTGCTTAAAGAAGAGCTCTAAGTTTTGGGAGGTGCTGCCAGAGTACTGTTTAACTGTGTATATACACAGAAGAAAAAGCTAGTAATCATAATTATTAATAATTATTAATGCTAGTAGTCATTAGTAGTCCTTCGTAGACTTTGAGTAACCCCTGTAAAGGAGGAAAAGAGTTTCTTTTTGTTGTCCAGGCAAACTGGCAGAGGCACTTCAGTATGGCCAAGTCACTCCACTGAACTACCTACAGCCCAAATGTTCTTTAGCCATTTCCATGATTTATTGTTGTCTTTGTATTCAAAACCCCTCAAAACACAGGAAGTAGTATGATGTGTTAGCTTAATAGTGCTAAGTTATTTTATCCTTGCAGGTGGTTTGGTTTTAGAGTTGTCATAACTGTTGTCCTTTTTCCATGACTGTTGTTAGTTCCCACTAACACTTGGTTTCCTCTTGGCAGAGTTTAATGTCGGTCAGTATCGCCGAGATTTGGTGAAAAAGTATAAATCCTTTGAGTTCTTCCTGCCTGACAATGAAGAAGGCTTGAAAATCAGGAGGTAAGTCTTGGTTGTGTTTGGTACACGACACTAATTGTGTTAAAATGATGTCCTGTGTAATTTGCTCTTGTGGGTGGATTTAAGTTGCATTTTTGTAATGCAAAATGTAAGGGTCAAGAAGACCCTTAGGGAGACTGCAGCATGAAATGACAGGGAGAAGAAATTCTAGTGAAGCTGGGAAAGTGATTTATTTAGGCTGATTAAAATTTGGAGAGAAGGTTGATTGCTTCTTGATTCCTTTTCACTTTTCAGTAGGCTATGACTACTGTTATTCCTGTAGATATTCTAGGATATTTTCACTAAAAACAAAGCAATTTTAGCAAATAGTTACTTATTTTCCTACCTTTTTTTAGGTATCAGTTAATGGATGTGACTCTTTTTGCTACCTAATTCCAAAAATGCCATTTTAGAGCTTTTTTTTTTATCATAAAAAGAAGAGAAAAAACACCACATAACTGCTTTTCTTTTTGGTTTACATACTGAAATTTTTCACCTGGAGTGCTTTGAACGGATTTGTCATTACCTATTCAAATGAGCAGGAATCAAACCCTATAATTTTCTCCCTGTAATTATCTTTCTGTCCACCATGCAGGTGCCTCATGCAGTCAGTCAATGCACTGCTTCTAAAATTGCCATGTTTTGCTAATGCTGTGCAAAGCAAGGTCAGAACCAGTGTGAACATCTGTGTGCACATGAAGCATTTGAGTCTCTCCTCATCTGGAAAGAGGCTGTGCTTCAATGTAGAGACAGACCTTGAGAAGAAAGGTTAGATGAAGAGAAAGGTCTCTTGATTTTAATTCGACATTCACTGTACTTTTTAATATGTTCAGGAAAGCATTTAAGAGTGTGCAGCACAAAATGAAAAGGAACAGAAATCTGAGAGGAATGGAAATATTTTTTTTATTTAGGCTACATGAAATGTGGACTTTTTTGTTCTTAGTTCAGCTTCAGCTCAAGAGCCAAAAATGTCTGGACTTTCTTTTGTGGCTGTTCCTCCCCTTGTCCTCTCTCTCCCTTCCCTTTCCCCCTCAGCAGCCCTGAGTGCTGCTAATGCCAAATAGAACAACTTGCATAAGAACCTTGTAATCTTCTGGGAGTAAGGAGCTGCTTTGAGAGGTGCATTACCCTTGCAAGCCACTACCTTTTGCTTACAGGTAGAGCCAAACCTTTTAACGTGCCTCCGTGTCACCTCTTAGACTAAATGGTGAGGGATGTAACATGAAAAGGGCTGTGTGAGCTAATCTGCCTGCTTAGCAATGAGTAAAAAAGGTTTATATTTATTCAGTGAAGATTTGACTGTTGAATCTCAGCTCCTGACATCTGTTAAATGTGCTAATGTGGAAATACTGTCAGGCTTGGAAAGCCTTCATTTCTCTTTTAAGATAAAGCTGTGCGTGCAGAATGTGGTAAATAGAAGAGTTATGAGTTTCAGTCTGGAAGTCAAAATCGAGGAGTAATGCATAGAAGGGCTGTTGAAATGGTCAGGCTTTTATGTTGGTACTGCAAAGAGACTGCACTAACTGGAAATAAATGGGGCATTGTTCTACTAACAAGTAAATCGTGTACAATGTTAATGTTGCCCTCCAGCATTATTGATGTGTTAGGAATCACAATGGACTTTGAAGATAATACTAATTCTGGGGACATAGGAAAGTTGCAAATGAATGTGTTCTTGTTCAGATTTAACACAAGTGTAGGGGTGGGGTTTTTTGGTGTTTATGTCCTTAACTGCCTCCAGCACTAATTACACTGGATTGGTGACTGCAATAGGATGTTATTTTCACCCTAATACTTTGTTTTACTCTCTCTTTCAACCCATGTTTTTTTACATAAGCAGTTTTCACTCAGTAGCTCAAAAGAGCAGAAGTAGATTGGTGAAAAATAGTTGTCTCTTCACCTTAACTTAGGGCCACAAGATAAGAGCCTTAAGTTGGCTTAATTTATTTATTCCCTCCCCCCCCCCTTTGAGAACCAAATTAAGAAACAAATATCTGAATAGCTAATTGGGAAAAGAATACAGTTGCAGGGATGATTCAGCGATGTTACTTTAGATCAGTGAAAGTTTATCCTGGTCACCAAAGCTCTGGTGGCTGTTCTGTGGTGATGTGAAGGTGTATCAGGTGCACAGAGGAGCCAGATGACGTGACCGTGTTTCCTTGGTATGGCTTGGTTCTCCTCGGTTGGTTTTTCCCATGCTTGGAGGGGGACTGTGCTTTTGAGATAAATTATCTAACATTTGCAGGGCACAAAAGCATTAATAAAATGACCTGAGCTGTTATTTGACTTTTACTCTCTCATTTTTAAGGCAGTGTGCCTTAGCAGCGCTGAATGACGTCCGGCAGTACCTCAGTGAAGAAAACGGGCACGTGGCTGTAAGTTTCTTGTTGAAGACACATTCTTGAGATGCTTCTGTTCTTAACAGTGTGTGTCTGCTGGATAATACACAGACTGAGTAATTCCAATAGCTCTTCAGTTTATCAGATTTTTTTCTTTGGCAGTTGTGTGTTAGATCTGCCCTGTTGCTGGAAGGAGTGCTTGATTTCAAGGTGATGATGCCATATGAGCAGCTACCTTTGATTTGAGGGGTTAACTGGGAAGAGGGCAGCAAGAAAAATGTCCCCCTTCTCTCCATGTTGTACATCTGTTAAACACATCTGGTGTTTTGCTTGCACCTCTGTTTCTATTTGATGATCTGGTGTTCCAAGTGGAAGGTAGAGACTTGCTGAACAAAAAAGTATCCTCTGTATTGCTTGGCAGTTGTGTTACTGGCATGAGAAATCTCTGAAGAGAGCAGGAGAAACATCATAATAAATTGATGCATACCTGAGTATTTAATAATGGGATGCAAAGCAACAGCTGTTCAATTATTGTCATTGCATATTCATTCAGATTAAGAGTACTGACACAACTGTGGTGTTTTCATTAACTAATCAGGGAAAATCATTAACTGTAACTGCAAATTCTGCTGGAGACATAAGGGAAATGTTATACTTTAGCAAGCTTCATTCTTAAATAAAACACTGATATGTTCAGAGCTAAATATAAGTCCTTAGAAGAGTGGCTGCATTGATTGTGTAATCCACGGGCAGGATTTACAACTCTTGCAGATCTTCTGCCCTTTAAAGATTTTCCCTTGCATTTTGAATGGCAGATTCATTGCAGCATCTGTTTTTGTGTGGTAGAACTTAAAACCTATGCAGTAGTATTTAATGATGATAATAGACCAGGAGGAAGATTCTGTCCTGTATTATGTGGTAGGTTTAAATTCTGGTTGTTCCTTTCAAACCCAGTGTTCTGCTAGTAGTGCATTCAAAATATTACTCTTTTTAATATTTAGAAAATAGTATGTGTAAAGTAGGAATGTCTTTGCTTTCCTCTTGATCATGTTGATGTGGTGGGGTAGAGGGAAGAGGAAGTGTTTCCATTGTTTTATTTTACATTGTGGGACTTTGAACCCTTATTTTTATTATCACCAACAGGCTGTGATGCTTTTTAAATTCCTTTCTCTCTCTCCCTGTAATTATTCCTAGGTCTTTGATGCTACAAACACAACTCGAGAACGTAGAGAAACTATTTATAAATTTGGTGAAGAAAATGGGTATAAGGTGAGTTAGAAGCAAAGCAGTTCTGAGCTAATGCTGAACAAGTAAGGCAGGGATAGTTTTGCCCTTATCTGTACCCTGAGTTTAAGAAGTGCACTAGCACAAGGCACATCCTTCTTAGGTGTTTATTAATAATGCATTTTGTATTCCCAAAAATTTTTCTGAATTAAAAGCCATCCCATCCTCATTTTCCTCATGTCACATTAGTACTGTTTGGAACTGTTTTGTGCTGTGGCTTCAATTCTGTCATCCTGGACCTGTAGTTCTGAGTGTACTGTCAGCAAGAACTATTTAAAATACGGTTCTCTGTGCAGTTCAGATTTTTGCTGCAGAAACAGGGAAGGAATTCTGCATTAGTTCTGTACAAACCAAAAACTTTCTGTGGTTTTCTTCCTTCTGTCCAGGATTGTTTGGCATTTAGCTGTTCTCCAGTAAAAATCCATTTCCTCTAAACTTACATCTCCATAAACCTTTGACACAGCAAAACACAAACCTCTCTTTAAGGAGGCCACTCCATTAGCTGAGAGAGGCTTCTAAAGTATTATTTCAGAAGCATTAGTTACTGTTTGTTTGGCTGAACATGCGTCCTCTGCATTTATTTCTTCTCCTTCCATGCTACGTTTTTTTTCTCACTGAAAAATTTTTCCACTCATAAGCATTGTTTGGGAAAAGACTGTAAAGAATGATACTTCATGGAATGGTCAGCCAGGAATTTCTGATGAGAGGGTCTGGAGAAACTTCCTGAGTAAATAGAGGGAAGTTTAACATAGGACACTGCTAAAAAGGCCTTAGCATGGAAGTGGGCATTATGCTGCTTGTGTGTGTTAGTCTCCAGAGCTTTTTTAATGTATTCTTCCTTCCTTCTGTTCATATGACTTCCATTTGGACTGAAGACTTTTTTTGTGGAGTCAGTGTGTGTTGATCCAGAGGTCATTGCTGCAAACATTGTGGTGAGTATTGTGATGGAGGAAAGTTTGCTTTAACCTCTCTGTATTTTTAGAAGTACGTTGTAAGAACTTCCAATAGCAGAAAACCCCCACATTAGCTCCCATTAATGGAACAGTTTTCATTTATTTTCCTGTCCATGTGAATGTTACTAACTCAGAAGTTTAATTTCTCTGAAGAATAATTATTTTTGCTTCACATGTATTTTAATTAGCTTCCAGACAAAGCTTCTTGTGGTGTTCTCCCCCTTCCTATTTCTTTAGACATCCATGAAAAAGGGAAAGAAACTTATGTACTGCTCTCCTGGTTTTATTTTAAACAGCAAGTGAAACTGGGTAGTCCTGACTATGTTGATTGTAGTAACGATGAAGCAACAGAAGACTTCATGAAAAGAATAGAGTGCTACAAGAACTCATATGAGACATTAGATGAAACTCTGGACAAGTAAGTGATGAAACAATACTGTGATCACAACTGGTGATCCAGTATTATTAAAATGTTTTCTTAAAGGTTAGAGGATCCTGTAGTGGGGATTAGGGCTTTCAAGACTTTTTTTAGTGGCTTCAGCTCTCTTTCCTTTGGCAAATCAGAGAGAGTTGACTCAGGGAGTGTAGCCTGGAAACTTCCTTGTTTGAGGAAAATTGGCTAACAAGTCTACTCTTGGACAGTATTTTTTTTGATTTTCCCACTTGGAGAATGGTATGATTCTTCTGGGATAGAACCAGCATTTAGGAATTATTCCAGACTTGCTACAGTGATGGGTTGGTACTTGTTTCTTTAGTATGTAGAGGAGACTTGAGTGATTTATAAGCATAACTTAATTGGTTGGCATGGTTAAGATTAATTATGAACACATCACTCTTAAAAATGTGACTTCGAAATTTATTTATTTGTGCTTGCAAATTACCCTGCAGATTCAGGACTGTGAGAAACTGTCTTGGCTAGGTTGTTTATCCTCATGCCAAAGCATTCTTCTGTTCCTCATTAACTTTGAACTCTTGAAAGTAAGGTAGGGATGAACCATGTGAGGAGGAGCCCCGTTTCTCTTGCTACACTCCAGAATTTCAGGGTGGGATTTGGGGCTGCAGTCATACCTGGTGATCCTGGGTTGTTCCAGGACCAGAGCTGCAGAGAAGGCTGAGCTGCATTTTAATGTAATTGGGTGTCAGCAGCGTGAAGCTGGTTCAATCGGCTCAGTTCATGCGTGTAATTTCTGTGATGGACCTAATGGTTGTGCCTGGCTGGAATAGTAATGATTAACTCCAAAGAACACTAGCAGGGATGAGGTGATGCTCGTTGCTCATCACCTCCAGTTGATTTTAGTATAAGTTTTCGTGTTTCATTGTGGTATGAGGTCTCAAATGCATCGCTAGAAACCAACAGCGGTGTTTTTCAGCTCATTAGACTCTTTTCCTTGTGTAAACTAGAGGCTACTCTAAAATTATAGCTCAGATGAGAAAGAATAAGCAGTGAAAGTTGAAATTATTAGCTGTCTGATGCTGAGAGAAGGTAGTGGTGGGGTAAATTACAGTACCATTAATAAGTAGTTGTTGACAGAGCAGTTGAGAAAACATCTTGCTTCAGACTCGTCCCTGGTCCTTCTGATGCTCTGGTTTTTCTGGAGGGATTAACTGAGATGGGGAAATAGTGACTGTGCCTTTTGGCCCTGGGTGCAATCAGACACTGAGGGAAAGTGTTTGTAACCTGGAAAAAAATATCAGGTATTGTAAAATAGCTGGATGTCTTATTCAACTGTGGTGACTTCAGTGACTCCACTGAGTCTTTCTTTCAGTGGGAGGGCTGTGTTTCGCCAAGAGTAGGATCTAGATTTGGACAAAGTGCAAGTAAAGGGAACAGAAAAGAAAGCTATGTGAAAGGAATAGAGTTCATCCTGTACCTTTGGAGTACTGCATTGTTTCTTAGGACTAATGCATATTCCACGGGTGTTTGAGGATTTTTTTCATTTCTTTGGCTTGTTGCCCCTTTGTTTTATAATGAGAAGAGAGGGTGGAAAGATCATTGTACGTGCTAATAGAAACTATGTGGAATCTTACTACTTTTTTTTTTTCCCCCCTTTTATTTGCTCATGAAAGGGATCTTTCTTACATTAAAATTATGGATGTCGGAAGGAGTTATCTTGTGAACAGAGTGATGGATCACATCCAGAGCCGGATTGTCTACTACCTCATGAATATCCATGTGACTCCTCGGTCAATCTACCTCTGTCGACATGGAGAAAGTGAACTCAATCTGAAAGGGAGAATAGGAGGAGATCCTGGGCTGTCTGTCAGGGGGAAAGAAGTACGTACCTGCTGGACAAGCGTGGCGGGGTTTTGTGTGGGTCTGTGCTGTGTAATTACAGCTTTCTTCCTCTACAGCCTTTCCTCTCAACATGTTTGAGAAGGGCTTTTTTTAGCTGCGTGTTTGGGTGGTGGAAACAGGGTGGACACTTTGTGTGTTGTGATGTGGTATGTGCTCTTTTATCTGTTTGTCTTTCTGTTGGCTGAAATTCCTCTTTATCCTGCAGCACAAAGCAGTTGGCGAGAGGGCTTTATTTTTTAACTGTATCTTTGTAAAATCCTGACTAGTTGGATAATCGGGAAAATACACAAGTTAAAGCTGAAAGGAAAATTCCTGGAAATGAAGTTAGGAACCGCAGAAAACTTGTATTTTCCTTGTACTACTTTTCTTTCCTCTCCTCTTGCACTTGGATAATGGAGTGTGTTGTATTTCTAAGCGAAAACTTTGACAGTATTTTGGAAAAGTTATAATGAGTTTACAGAGGCTAGAGCCCATGTATTCCAAAGGGAACACAGTGTGTTGGCTCTGAGCCCTCATCCATTGTCTCATGGTTTTTCTTTCAGTTTGCCAAAAGCTTGGCACAGTTTATTAATGAGCAAAATATCAAAGATCTGAAAGTTTGGACGAGCCAGATGAAAAGGACGATTCAGACTGCTGAAGCCTTGGGAGTGCCTTATGAGCAGTGGAAGGTCTTGAACGAGATAGATGCAGTAAGTTCTTCTCTTTAAAGCGCCTAATAAGTTGCTTTGATTGCTAGAGATGAAGGAAGTACTTAGTATTTTAATAATATGCCTTTTATGGGATGGAAAGTCATTGAAGCTGCTTCTAGAGGCTGGAAAAATTGTCATTAATTCCTGTTAACAAGGCTAAGCATTTTATTAAACTTTGCCATAGTTAATATTTTCTTGCTGTGTCTTTCCCAGTAAAACATTTCCCTGCAGAAACCAAAATGTTATGAAATTTTGGGTAAGTGGGGGTTGGAAAGAAGTTTAGGGTAGGTGTGGCTTGCTAGTTGGCATTTTCCAACTGCACCTCTAAGATATATAAGCAGGCTTAATAGATGAAATGTGACCTTGCTTGCCTATGTATGTAACTTCACCTATATAGGGATTAAATGATTCCTTCTAACCACATCTGAGTCCAGCTGAGTGTCCTGTTTACCACGTGGGACAATTTTAAGTGTCAGAGTAACAAAATGAAATTGTTAAAGGTTATTTATATATGGTTTTATTTAACAGTGATATCTGCTTTTGGCACTGCTGGAAATACATGGGTTTTAATTATTTTCATAACCTACAGGGAGTGTGTGAAGAAATGACATATGAAGAAATACAGGAAAATTACCCACTTGAATTTGCACTGAGAGACCAAGACAAATACAGATACAGATACCCTAAAGGGGAGGTATGCTATTTTTAATTTTTTAAGGTGAAGGGCTGCCTTGTCTTCTTGAATACATGCATGCTGGCCTTAGGAAAAATAAATCTTAAAATTAATGGAAAGGTTATTTGTTGTAATTTCTCCACAGGAAAGTACATCGGAGCTTGCAACGATTGAGCCCAGACCATTTAAATTGATTCAGGGCTTGAAAAATAGAACAGTAAATTTAGAAAAACAGTGGAGAACTTTGATCTTGTGGGCATGGTTCCTGTGCTGGTCCTGCAGTGATAAAGCAGGAAGAATTGCAAGGCTTCAGCTGTTGCATATGCAAAAATCCTGCCAAGTTGGGCAGTTTCTATTCACCCTTGCTCTGGGTGATGGCTGCTTTGCAGGCGGCTCTGGATGAAATGCTGGGGGAATCTCAAGAAGCCACGTTGGTCTTTCACTTTATTACACTCCTTGCCTCTGGGAAAATCACTTGCTGACAGCTTTTCTGAAGCAACCCCATTACAGTGCAGCAATTACCAGATGGTCACAGGGTCTGTCTGTGGGTGCTGAAGGCTCAGGATTCTGGGCAGCAGGGTGGAGGAGTAATTGGACCAGCTGCTCGCTGTTTGTGTCATGGGGAACCAGGGCTCTGTCATCTTCTTCCTCAGCAGTCAGGAGCAATCACTGTGATAAGAGCAGCGTTCCTGGGAGTGTGACCCCGGTCTTACTAATGAGGCAGTCATTAAGCTGCTGAGTTCTCCTAATCCATTTGAACAAGGACTGTTTGTTTTTCAAACCGGTGCCGTCCTCCGGGGACGGTGACAAACATTTCAAACTCCCTCAGTGCCTTGGGGTGATTAGCTGAGCTCAGCCGTTAGTCAAAGGTAGATTTGTGTGTTTGTCAAAGGCAGTTTTGTGTCCCTGGTAACAGTCCGAGGGGGTTTGCACAGCTCGCTGGAGACCAGGGGCTTCCTCTTGCCCGGGGCTCAGTCAGCAGGGGCTTTCCATCCTGCCTTGGGACCAGGGCAAAGGCTTTTGCTGTGGTCAGTCCCTGTTTTTCTGGGTGATGTGACGAGTTCTCTGCATTTACATTGCATGACGTGTTTTTGGAAGTGTTGTCTTTACTGTGGACATGAAAATTGACTTAACCATGCACAAGCAGAAACCCTGCTGTTTACCAGCATCAATGTTCCTGCAGCAGATTCCCCGTGCACATGCAAGAGCATCCGTTCTCCTCGCTCTGTGACTTCTGGTGGGATGGTGGCTGCTGTCACCAGGCCACTTCAACAAGCCCTTGGTTTGTTTTTAAAGGGCAGCCTGAACAAGTCGGGCTTTGTAAAGTCTTTGAGTGTTTACTGTAGGCTGGGCTTCCCAGATTTTTGCTTGGAAGAGGGATGCTTTTGAAGATGAGGTATGGAAAGCGACGTGCAAGACTTAACGTGTATATTTGCAGATGATGTGAATTAAATTCTAGGCATTTTGTGGAAATTCTTGATCAAAGTGGCTAATTTAATAAAGCTTTTCCACGAGGGAGATTTATTTTATGTGTCTGCACTTTGATAGTCTGGAAGACCCGAACTGTGTGCTCAATTTAAGGAAAATTATTATTGCAGTGTTTGTCTGTGCACTAATATATAGAAGATGACTAATATGAAAGTAAGATCCCCTGTATATCCATACACTGTTCAAAGAGTTTTCCCCTTTTAATGTGCTGTGTATTTCTGCTCCCCACCCAGTCCTATGAAGATCTTGTTCAGAGACTGGAGCCGGTAATTATGGAACTTGAAAGGCAGGAAAATGTGCTTGTCATATGTCACCAAGCTGTCATGCGCTGTTTGCTCGCATATTTTCTTGACAAGCCCGCAGGTAAGTCTTCCTTGATATATTACAGATGGTCTGTTTTTTGAAAATTAACTGATAAGGCTTCCTAACAGTAAATTCTATCAGGTTCCTTTATCATCAGGGGGTGGCTGTGTTAGGCCAGTACCCAAATGTAATTTTTTTATATTTGACCCACACGTGAATCTCGGTAGTTCATGTTATTGAGCTGCTCCTCACCTGAAACAGTGATGCTTTTTTGCTCTGTTTGATTAGCATCTCTGTTTGCATGCTAGGGAAGAAAGCAGATACAATGTCAGATAAAAACTCATTTAAGTGGTTGACCTGGAACGTAATAGAGAAGTTACTTGTAACCTGTGTTTCATATGTAATTTGTGGTTTGATTTCTCAGAACAACTCCCTTACCTGAAGTGCCCACTGCATACTGTCTTAAAGCTGACCCCAGTGGCTTATGGTAAGTGGAATTAAGTGTATGTAATATATAAGTCTAACTGTGCTGTCTTTGTCGTCAGGAAAGGTTGTGAAGCATTTAAATCAAACCTAAGTTTATTCTACTTTAAAATGGAATTGAACTGTTGGGTCTGACATTTCCTGTATGCCTGCACAGCTTTGGTTAGAGTTGATGAATCCTTTGGATTACATTTGCTTTGCCTTATGCCAGAAAATACGTATGTGTTGGTGAAGGCCTGGAACCCATAGAGGCTGTGAGTGCTAGAAGAGAGTTCTGTGCTCAGTTCATGTGCATTTCACTACTTCTTCTGCCAAACCTGTGCATTTACACATCTGGTACAGCAAGATCTCATTTTTCACTGATGTATTGGAGGGTATTGCTTTTTAGAAGACAGGCCAATTTACATTTGTATAGGTTTATCATCTTACAGAAGGTGTTCCCTTAGCCTTTAATAGCTTTGTTCTCTTTTCCTGAAGTATTTTTTTTTCATGGACCTTCACAGTACCACATGCATCACCTTGTTTGTTGATGTTGGCATTGTTTGTCAGCAGCTGTTACCAGGGCCTTTCACTGGGCTCTTCTGCCAACTTGGGCACTGTGGGGTGTGGGTTGTAACATGCTCTGGTTTGGGTTTTAGGCTGATTGCTGATGAGATTTTGTGTGTCTTTCAACTTCAGCTTGATGTGTACCTGCTGTTAGTTTAAGTGATGGCTGAGTTATATCTTCTGATATTTCATCACACTTCAGAAGATCATCTGCAGACAGAGAACTATCGGCACATCTCACCAGGAAATCGATGCCCCAAAATGCCAGTCCAGTCATTAATCAGAAGTGCAAAGCTGTCTTTGATTATCAGCTTTGAAAAGTAGTGGTCTAGACCTGTATTTTGTTTAATTGTTAAGTTTCAAAAAAAGGTTGAAACAAAGTACATTACAAAACAAAGTAGCTGCCACACTGGGAAATCTGCCTGAAGAGATTTTTCTCATTTAATTGCTGCATTGTCCTACAGTAACAACTGCCTGTGCTGTGGTGACATCTGGTGTTCCCAGCCTTGCATGACAAGCTGGAGTTTTGAAAATAGAGATTTAGAACAGTTAAAACATCTTTTTTATTTATTTGTTTTGTTTTTTTTTTAGTTGGGTTCTCTTTACTCACTAATCTCTGCCTGTTTCCACTGAGAGGTTTTTGTTTGGGGTTGTCTTTGGTTTTGTGGGGGTTTTCTGGTGAATTTTTGTTGTGTGTTTGTTTGCTTGTCTGATTGGTTGGGGTTTTTTTGTGGGTAGTTGGGTGACCATTCATACATTTTAAGAGGGCCTGGATGTTTGCAGTGTGTGCTCACACAAAATGAGGAAGGAAACAAAACGGTGGGAAATAACTGTCCTTAGCCTTTTGACTTCAGTGAAAGAAATGCCATTGTCCTTTTTTAAAGCATTTGGTATGTATGTCTGATTAGCACATTTCAGTCAACCTTCTTTTTGGAATTCATCCATGTGAGGACACAGGAGTAAATCGTTTCTACAGTACTGATCTGTGGCATTATTTCAAGCTGATGCATCGCTTGGCTCCAGCAAGGCAGGATGCAGGATCAGACCTGGTGTGTTTGATACCTTCCAGCTAATCCTGTTTTGGGAAAATGCCTCCCCCTGGGGGTTTGCTCATCCTGGCACTGGAAGCAGCATCATTCCCACCTCGAGTGTCTGATCTGCAATAGGGGAACATCTGTTAGAGCCTGACAGTTGGATTAGGATAAATGAGACCTTTGCCCAGCAATCCAGTGTAGTGATGGTCTGTGTGGGAGCACAGAGGAAAGAGAAACTGCAGCTTGCTGTAGGGATGAACTTGGTCATCAGTAATTAAAAATGAGCTGGGAGTATGCACGTTGTGGAGTAACTCATGTCCCTTTAGTTTATATTTAAAGCTTTCCATATGATGCTTTTTTCAGATCTTAAGCTCAGTAAGGACTGAGAGGTCTCTGGAAGTGTCTGCTGTGTAACCAGGCCTTAGTAATGGCCAGCAGCAGGGGCCAGAGCTTGTTTTGGCTTGGTCTCAAGGGTCACAGTGGATCTGTGAATGGAAGGATGACTAAAGGTCCTGTTCCAGTGGGAGGTGTGTGCTTTTCCTCCTTAAAACCTGTTTTATGGTTGACTGTTTCTGAGTGCTGGCCCTCCTGCAGTGTTTGCTCATAGTGTTTGTGACAAAGGGGCTTTCTCAGAATAGGTTTCCCTAAAGGAAGGTAAATACTTGCCTTACTAATTTATTTTTTTTAAGTGCATTGTCTTTCTAAGAAATTAGTTTTTTTTCTGTCATGTGCTAATTCTGTGGAGTGTGTTATGACTTCAGGAAATAAGTGAGGAGAAAAATCTGACCACCTGTTTGAGATAGAAGATGGTCTCTGTGGTTGGTCAGAGGAACTGGCTATTAATGAATGTTGTGTAGAGTAGGAGTAGCTTATAAAGGTCATGCTCATGTGAGATAAAAGTGTTTGGCAATCAGATATTTCTTAAAATGCTGATCCCATAGTGTATTGAGTAATTATGTAATAACCTAAATTTATACCATCTGGGAAATTGTTGTTTCTTCTGACTGTTTAATTTTTCTTGCTTCACTGGAGTTTTGAATTTTTGAATGTAAAGCAAAAGTTCCTTTTCAGGAGTCAACTTTAAAGTTCCATTTAGCTGGAAGTTAAAACTGTTTTGCATGTGTAGGGGAATGGGGGTTGCTAACAACACACTGTACCTTTTTGTAATTGTTTTCATGTTTAAAAATGAGAACAGCATTTACCTTCTGTATTACAATGAAATTCTAAGAAATCTAAGATGTTTAAAAACAAAAAAGGTACAAGTAAGAACTTTCTCACTTGAACATTCTGTATGTTTAAACAAATAAAAATTTGTTTCAAAGAAAATAATGATAAAGCTAAGGTGAGGAGATGGATTATCAGATTGAGAATAGTGTTCCTCCAGGTGGAATAGATTCATTTCAGTAGCTTTAGCTCTTCAGAATTCAGGAAATCCTGGTATAAATCAGAAGGGGGGAAAGTGATTTAACCTTCACCAACTCAAAATTAGATTGCATCTTTACTATAACTTCACTTTTAAAGCAGATTTATTTAAAAATGTGTTTTTTGTCAACAGGATGTAAAGTAGAATCTATATTTCTGAATGTGGAAGCTGTGAACACACACAGAGATAAACCTGAGGTAAGAATATCTCTCAAACTGGAGAACATGATGTAATGTACTGTCTGAGCTGATTTTTGTTGTCCTTGTGGTTAGAAGTGATTTGATAACTCAACTGAGAGCATATTTTATATATATATCAAGCTTTTATATATCAAGCTTTACTACTGGTTTACTGTTGGCAGGGGGTAAATCCTTTTTATTGAGCAGATTTATCTTTATTATATGAGTTAGAGCTGGAATAATTCATCTTCAAAAAATGAATGTGAAGGTGAAGATGTGGTATCCACCTGAAAGCTGCATAAAGTTCTGCCAGGCTTTGTCATTGAGCAGAAGTAGGGTGTAGTCAAAAAATTATGTTGTGAATGCCACGCTTGTTTTGGAGAGAGAGAGAGAGAAGAGAGAGAGATCATCAGCTTTTTCACCCCTGCAGTCCTTGCTGTGTGAAAAAGAGGAATTGATGATGTCACCTGTGTTTTAAGCCAGAGCTGGAGAGGAAGACTAGATCTCAGGATACAGCAGGACACCCAGGGCAAGGGAATTGAGCGTATTTGTGAGATGTAAGTGGAGATCAGATGTCAGACCGTGGCAGCTTCGTGCTCTCCCTGTGTCAGGCACGTGTTTCTCTGCTCCTCAGTGTTGACCTGAGCTTAGGTTGGTTCTGCTGCTTGTGCAAAGCTCTTCCATTGCTGTGTTCTGAAAGTTATGTGAAACGTGCCATGATTAAAAACCTCTGGTTCCCTTGCAGATCTTCATGCTAATGCCCCCAGGTGTGGCACTGATTCTGTGCTGAGGTTACAGGTGGTGCCTACTGGTGAACTGAAAGTCAGTTTGATAACATGAGAAAAGAGGACCATTTTTGGTGGTTTTTAGAACAGTGGTTTATGGTGGAAAGGAATATAATGAGAATGAGGTTTTATGTGTGTATTCAATAGGGCACGTGATACAAAGTGCCTTTCTTACCTGAGGGTGCAGTTTTGTGCAGAATTCATGCTGGAGGGCTCTGTGAAGAAGTTTTGTTGTAATGGCATGGGAATTTTGAGTTGTGAAAATACTGACTTTGGGTCATCTGTAGCCAAGACAGTTTCTGTTAGACACTGGCTCTGTATATTTCTCTCTACTCCCCTTTTTACCACTTTTGTATCTTAGTTTGGTTTGTCAGGTTTAGGAAATCTGTTTTCACAGTGCCTGAAGTTGGAGAAGCATAGTGAAAATAAATCAGGATGTCTTGGAGCAGTAGGTTATCCATGTTAAATAATGTAGAGGAACAGAATCTTTAGTTTGGCTGATTAAAATATTGGTGCTGAATTTACAGCTTGCTAAATGTTGTTCAAAATACCATTCCTCTAACTGAGGAGGTTTATTTCAAGGGGCAAAGCTCTGCCTGAATCACCAAGTTACTCTCAACATGTCTAGGAAGTGATGTGACCATGCTGGTGTGGGGTGCCTCTATTCCAGGTGCATGTAGAGAGGATCATGCAGACAGGTACATTGCAGTGGACACAAAGACACAAGACTAATTGGAACAGAAGTAAATTGAGTTAATGAATTTTAAAAGAATTTAAAAAAGGAGCAGAGGCATTTTTATAAAAACCCCTCAGATTCTCTTCTCCCTCTGTCCTGAAGGAAACCCAGCCTGTTGACTATGGGTGGTGACACACTGTTCATTTAGGAGGTCTGATTGAAGGACTAAGTTGGTCCTGTCTGCATTTAAATGATGCTCAGGGAACTATGAACATTTCAAAAGCTTTTATTTTCATCACCTACAAAAATGTTAATTACTTCTGTAAAATTAAGTTTTCAAGTGGTCTGTTGAAGTCAGAGCATTTAATTAAATGCAGCATCACATAACAACATTGTTAAACAATGAAACTATTGGACTGAGAATTGCCCAGTGGGCTGTTCTGTGCCCCCACCAGTCACTTGTAGTCCAGAACAGTGCCCTCCTTTTGGGCTCAGCTGAAAGCATCTATTTTCACGTGGCAAAAATGCAGGCAAGGCTCTGGAGTCTTTGCTTCTGGTATGTGTGAACTTCATTGTACCATGGTGGCTTTGTCTGGAGCGAATTGAAGCCTTGTGTTTGTCAGCAGTATAGTGGCTGAAGTTCTGACCTTTTCCAGTGAAGGAGTCTATGGTCTTTTACTGAAAATAATTCAGGGGAGTTGCTTTGGGTCCCCCCTTTGGGCCAGAAAACAAGCACTGGGGTGAAGTGTCTGCTTTGCATCTCTGGCTTAGTTGGTGAATGACTGACAGGGAGAGTGCTCGTAGCACGAAACCCAGGTTTCCTTTTGGAGTTTGGGGAGGGGAGAGGGCGATGGTAGTGAAAGGTGTGAAACAAGTAAGACTCAGTCAGCGTGAAGTTTGAAGAAGTTGCAATGATTTGGCCTAGAATGGGTCCTGCAGGTAACTTCAGAACAGTTTATCATAGTGTGCTCTCTTGGTAGAGGGGAGAATACTGATTGGCAGGGTCTTTGGGACTTGCACGAGGTGTACGAGGCAGGTGTGATTCCTGAGCTGGTTCCATGGGGCTGCACTCAGCTGGACTTCCCAGCAGGAGCATTTGGCTGTGCTGGGCTCTTGGTTTTGTTTGGTTTTGAATAATTGAATGTCATGTTTTTTCTACAGCCTTTGCAAAATGAGATGACACCTAGTTAGTGTAACCAGCCTTGAAAGATTAGCATGTCTGAGAACATATTTTTTAATTTTGTCAGGGTTGTTATATGCCTATAACACAAACAAATGTTGCAAGTGTTCTCTTGGGACAGAAGTGTGTGGCATAGTTCAGTAAAACACTGCAAGTTGCTTAATGGATAGATGTGTATGTGCTGAAGCACATGATTAAGTAGATTCCTGCTTGGGCCTATAAAAGACTTCTTCCTAAATGTGAATGTATTGAGCTTTTGGTAGTGCTGTCAGTGTGGGGGCAGTGAATTCTGTAAATCCATTTTCCTGCTGTCTCACTCTGGGACAGTGATGGGCTGTCAGTCTGCTGCACTCTTGGGGTGGGGGGGGTTAAAAAAAAAATCTCTGCTTCTGAATGAATGCAGCTGTGTACTTGTGAAGGAATCTGATTGGTGTTTTTGTTGCTCTTACTGCTGCATGATAAATATTCTCTGTATTTTTATTATTATACAGAATGTAGACATTTCCAGACCTCCCGAGGATGCTCTTGTAACAGTCCCTGGTCATCAGTGAGTCCTGTGTTCTGCTCAACTATCGAACTTGGGGTGCTGTTTTCATCCTACTGCTTCAAAATAAATTGAAAAACTAATAATTTCAATCACTCTGAAATAAAAAAACCCCACCCCAACCCAACTCATAATCCAAACCAAATGTTTGTACAGCATATGATTTGAAAAGATTATCAAATCACAATAAAACTATTGCACTGGCTGATTTATTGTGGATGAGTTATCAAACATTGATCGGCTCATGTTGGAGTGCTGCTTCTGTAAATTGCTGTAATTTAAATATCCTGCAGCATTAAGTTTTATTGTAGCAGCCAGCAATCATTTAGTGTTAGTTGCAGTGAAAGCCCTGAAGCACATCATCCTGTGAGAGATAAGAAAGTCTGAAGTTGCTTTTCTAGACACTAGTACTATCTGTTTCAGTGCCCTTAGGAGTGATTGGACTGCTATGTGGTGTAAAATAACAACTCATAGTTGCTGTAAACTCCTAATCCTGCTGGTCCATAGCACTAGTGGTCTACATGGGCTGATTAATGATGTACTGTTGGAAAAGGGTAGCAAGTCTTCACTTAGTTCCAGAACAATTATTCAAAGAACAGGAATGTGTATAAATGTTTTTAATATATGACTTTTGTTAACAGATGTTCTGCATTAACTAGGCTTTAGGGTTTGCCCTTCAGCAGAAGTGATTTTAAATTCCCTCTTTTCCTGCTTCTTGTACAGACATGGCTGATAAAGCATTTACAGTTCTGCTCCAGTTGTTTTGTACCCAGATTTTATCTGGGCTCCAATAAGTAGCATTTAAGCTGACTGTTTCAGACCAGGGAAGCAGACCTAGTCAGAGGATTTTGCAGCTGGGTTGTGACTCCAGCAAACAGGGTATCTCAACCAGCAGGAGATGAATCCAAAACTGAGTGACAGCAAAGCCTCTCACAGGCTGCAGGTTGTTGGGGATGTGGTGCCTGCGTGCCTTTCTGGGCACAATGGGCAACCTGAGGCCGTGGAATCACCTGTGCCATTGAGTAGACACCATTGAGGCTGGGAATGGCAGAAAAGTCACCACATCCTGGAACTGTTTTCTAAGGGCATCTTTTAGTCTTGAATGTAAGCAAGAGTGTAGGTTGTGGAAAGCTTTTATATGTTGGGTTTCTCAGGTGGTACGTTTTTCCAAAACCTGGATTTCGGAAAAAAATGTGTGGCATATCTGCACTTCTAAAATTGTAGTGAAGTTTTCAGAAGTTTAGAGCAATTGGGAATGTCTGCCATAACCAAATAACCTCCTGGCCAAAAAGCCTCCTGCTGCACTGGTTGGTGTTTAGTTAAGTCAGTGTCCCAGGATGGGACTGGATCATTTTCCTGTTGCTGTTTGTGACTGTGACATAGGAGTGTTTGGTCACTTTTCCTTGTTTAATTGTTCCAACCTCTGGGCATGAGATGCTCTGGGGAAGGAGACTTGAGCTGCCATACCCTCTTGCACACCCCAATTAGTGAGTCTGGTTGCTCTTACCTGACAGTTGAGATAGCATTCCCAAGGGGTAGCAGGGATCCGGCCAGAGTCGGGTACTTATTAGCTGCATGGAGACAGCTTGGAGTGCTGTCACCTCTGCAGGCCACAAGTAAGGAAATACCATTCAATTTAAACTAAATATGTTGCATTTTTGATGGAGCCAAAATGTGTGCAGGCATCTGCTGTGGAAAAACTGAGTTTTGCTGCTAGAGAAAGGGAGGCTCGGGCTGTCAGAGAAAATGGAGGGGGAGGATGGACAGGGCAGGAACTTGGCTGGAGAGGAAAGCTGAGCTTGGCTGTTCTGGCAGAGGTTGTAGAGGGAGGCGAAGCAGCAGAAGCACCCAGGACCCTCCACCCCTGCCAGCTGCTGCCAGCCTGATTTCCTGGGGCTGTGGCTGCGTGTTGTTCTCTGCTGAGCACAGCACTCGTTGTGCTGATGTGTGCAACAAGCAGAATGCTCTGAGGGGTCTCCTCTTACAGCATGATTGCTCAACAGTCCTCTCTGCCTTACTTCCTCAGTAACAGAAAGGCCTGATGCTGGATGGGAAGTGGCAGCAAGTTTGTGGCATGGCTTTGCCGAGGGAAGGCTGGCTGATAGGGGGCTGGAATGTTTGTATCCTGCTGTTTATTTCTCTGTTTATGCCTGTGCTGGTTCTTGTCCTTAGAGGCTTTTTCCTTTTCCCTAGAGGAGCTTTTCTGTAAGATCTTCCTGTTCTGCTGTGAAGATCACAGAACATGTGTAGCTAAATCAAAGTAAAACTGAGATGGCAGGGGCTGTCCTGTTCAGAGACTCACAGCACTTTGCTGGAGGAGGCTCTGTTCTGTAGGAAAAAAGTGTACAAAGGGAAGAGTATAATGAGGAGAAGACCAGTGGTGGTATAGGAGCGTATTTGAGTTAATCTGTGTGTTTTGAGTCTTTCCAGGGAGGACTGGGTGAGATGGACCCTTGTGTAAGGCAGAGTGACACTGCTCCTGCCTCAGACAGTGGGCTCTGGAAGCAGTGAACCCCTGCCTGGGCTGACTGAGTGAGAGTCCATATGCCTTGGTAGAAATAGTATTTAGAAGAGGTGAGTGTGGTTTTTTATTCCCACTACTGTGTTTCCCAGGCTTTTCAGACCGTGTTGCTGCTGGTTTGTGGCAGTATTATTCCCAGGATGGTGGTTTGTCCAGGTGTGCTTTGGGAAGGCAGTGCTGAGCAGTTGCCAGGACACATTTTGATCCCAAAAGGAAGGCATTAACCTCAGTCACCTTTCTAAGCAGCAGCACTGTCCTCATTGCACAACTTTTACCTCTCAATGCCCTTGGCTGTTCTGGAAGCAGATACAATCCCAGCTGCCATCATCTCATCTAATGGGATTCCTATGAGTAGGAATCCATTTATTGTTAATGAGGATACTGGTCCCTTTCTAAGCCCCTATTCATCTGGTCTTGCTCTCATCCATTGTGTTTGTCTAAGAAGCCCTTGGGGGTGTTTATTAGGGTTTATCCCAGTTTTCTTCCTTCACTGTGACAGTTCAGTGCTTTGCTTCCACAGCCTGTTTGTATTTATTCAAATCCAACCACTTTTTGCTTTCAACTTTCTCGCCTGTATATTGATATTCCCTCTGGGTCTGTCTCACTTGCTAAGATGCTGCTTCCATCTGATACAGCTTATTTCAGTCAGAGAGGTATCTTCTGCTGTGCCTTAATCACCTTGTTTCCTTTTAGTTTCATGTTAGAGCTGTCTAGTCCTTGCTGCTTGGGGATTAATTTCCAGTACCTCTGGATTCCTGCATACTGATGCTCCATTTCATGCTCCATTTAATTTTCTTTGAATCAACATCAGATGATCAGCTTAAAAGATTTCAGCCAATATTCTTGGAGTGCCTGTGGGAGACATCTCCACAGTCCCAAGGAATTTCTGGGTGTTTTGCATAAGTTGCTAAGAAAAACACAAACAAACACACCAAATGCCAACATATTCTGTTGGCTGGTTGTTTTCTCCCCTCCTGTGTAGTCATGCAGAATATGACTTGTTCTGCCAGCTCCTTGTGTTCTTAGACAGATGTTGATGCTTTCTGTGTGTCCCTTGGTGTAGAAGAGATGCTTCCTCTAGAAGCTTTTCTGAAATAGGGTTGTTGCTTTGCTTTCCTTCAAAGAGAGAAGTCAGAGTGGGTTGGGCCATGTGCTGGTGGGTGCAGGGGTTTCCAGGACACTGCCCAGCAGCATTTGTGTGTGTGTGTGTTCTCAGAAACCTTGGTGTGGTGTTTATGGTGGAAACCAAGGGAATTTACCTGAGAGCTTGAAGACTGATGAGAAAAGAAAGGGCTGACATGGATGTAGGAGAACTGTTAAGGGCAGAAGTGATGTTGGCACACTTCAACCTCCAAAGAAAATCTGGTGCTGCTTGTTTATATCCTGTTTTGTTAAGAAATGGCTAAAAATCTAGAAACTGGGGTTGGGGAGAGGATTGAATTGCTTTTTAAGTTGATGTGTTTTGACTGATGGCATTGTGTGTCTGGTGTGCTGAGAGTGCCCCTTGCTGGGTGCTCCTTTCCCTGGAGTTGGACTGGAGAGACTTGTTTGGAAAGTAAACTCTAATGAATGTGGTTATAAAACCACTGAAACATACCCTGATGTCAGTGTGACATCTGCCAACATGCCTGTGTACCCTGAAGTGCATTTAAACTTTATATTTCCGGCTCTTTAGGGAACACTTCATGTTACCAGCTCTTCAGGGAGTTATTCAGAGTTCTTCCAGTGACTTGGCTGCTCACAGACAGGATCAGAATTAGCTTTATGGCTGTTGGTGTTAAGGAGCCATTTCCTGCAGTGTGCTCTGAACAAGGAGAGGTGGGCGTCCCTCCCTCCAGATTTTATTGGTGCTTGTGTGGTTTATGACCTTTGCAGGGTTCTGTTTTTCCTTATACGATGTCCATAAAGACCAGGAGAGACAATGGATTAGAAAAATGTGGTTAAAACTGTGATTAAAGGATAAAAAGGTTTTAAAAACTACAACATTGTGACCTGTATATGGTGTAGAGACTGACTGTCCTACCAGACCTGGTGTAATACAGGTCTTAGAAATGCTTTTCACCTGCAGCAGAGATCCTGCTTTTGGGTATCTGAGGGGCTCTGTGAAGTGCCTGGCACTGGAACAAAGTCAAAGCCTAGTTCTGACTCCTACTCAGGGACTGGGACCACTCCTTGTGTTTTACAAAACATTTTGAGGAAATAAGCACTCAGACTTACTTGTCTTTAAGTAATAGCCTCGTGTTAAGCAAAACCGCACCTGGCTGTGAGACCTTTGCTTTACAATCTTCTTCTGTCTTTAAATTTGCAGAATGTAGGTGTGGATCGGTCGAGAGAAGAAGCTTTGAGGACAGTGCCCACCCACCTATAGCTCCAGCTCCAGGGGCAGCAGCCCTTCCTCCAGCGCAGCTCAGGGCCGGGAGGTGGAGAAGGTGTCGGAGCGGGTCGGGATGAACGCGCCTCCCCTTCGCTTTGAGACATTTCGAATGTGATTCCCCCTTCTTTGGAGAAAACCCGTAGTTGTGGATAACTCCCAGTGCCGAAAGGTATCAGTAAAAAGATTGTGGGAAGCAGAGTAGAGTTGATTTCAAGATTTATTTTTTTTTTTTCCATATGTAAATCTGTGCAGTTTCAGTGGGTTTTTACTGTTCATCTGTGGAAGGTGGTTAATTGCCCGTGTTGATTTTACTGTCAGATTTTAACAAGACTTTACTTTCTTTTTTTAAGTGTTTTTCTAAGAGTTCCTCTTATTTTTACTGTGAATGATCGCCTGGAATTACGTGGAGATTTTTTGATGGCGTATTTAATATGGGTGAAATTTTACATTTTGAGCATTGGAGGCTTCATGTTGCACAGCTGCTTTAAATGGAGAAGCCTGTCAGCTCTGATAGCTGTTCTGTGTTTTAAATTGAGCTTTGGTTTGCCAACCACAACTTAAAATTTTTCTGAAATTTCTGAGGGAGATTTTCCCTTTGGAAAATCAGAGCATTAAAGCTAGATTTGCTACCTGAAAGATTCAGCTGTTTTAACAAGATTTTAATGTTTTCCAGAGGCCAGCTGTATTTTGGAGGGCAGTGGGGGACACAGTATTAAGTGGGAGGTGTGAGTGTGAGTACAGCTGGCAGCCTGGGGAATGAACTGAGAGAGAAAGAGAGAGAGATGTCCTTTCTGCTGCAGTTACAGGAGGGGATGAGCAGCTTCTCTGAGTTTGGAAGGGAGGGGAGAAGGATTCAGACTGTCAGGGTCTGGAGAAGCTGCTTGCCTTGTTAGCGTTGTGATATTTTTTCTCTTTAGGCAGTTTTTGGAATGAATTTCAACATAAAAGTATATGTTTCTCTTTTATAGCCACATTTAATACGTACATCAGGAAACAGTACAGAGAGGTTAGGTGAGTTTAAATATTCTAACAGCTCATGCAAGAAAAACACCAGGTAAATTCTGAAATAATAACCCCTGCCTTGGGGTTTTTTGTATTGTTTTTAAGCACCTTCCATCATCCCAGTTCTTTGCTGCTTTTTAATGCCTAGTGAGACTCCAGTGCTAAAAATGGAATTGTCTGTGTCTGTTGAGGCCACAATCTTTTAACTGTACTAAATCAAAGTGTATTTTGTATGTGTGTTACCAGACAACTGAAGTGAGCTGCCAGCACTGCTGCTGGCTCTAGCTCTGAAATGAGGAGACCTATTCTTTGATATTTTACTGTGTTTTTTTTCTAAGGAAACTCTTCAGATAATTGAGCTTTTACCATGTATGTTGTTGAGGTTGTTCTGTTGTTTTGTTTTTGTTCTTTCCTCAATTCCTGTGTGGAATACCAGGCCCTCGTAACATCATTTTGCAGGCAAGGGCTACACTGTCTTTTGTTTGTGCAGGGTTTATAAAATAATGTGCTGCTGTTGTGATTAATTTTTTTTTTAATAAGCTAAATTCAGCAATATATTCAGCTCTGGAAGTAAGCCATAGAGCATCGCTGGGTTCTGTTTCAGAAGAGGAATGTGACCAGAAAGACTTGCTTCAAGGGCTGCTGTCTAAAGCTTTTGTGTGTGTGTGTGTGTGTGAGAGCCCTGCATTTGGTAATGCCATTTCAGACCCTTATTAATTCAGCTGTGTCTGTAGTTATGGGGTGAGGAGACAGCCTGCACAGCGCTGCTCAGAGGAGTAATTTATTGATGTGGAGTTAACAAGGCCACCTTTGTGGCAAAACTGTGGGAGTAATTCCTCCTCCTCGCCCCAGTTTGGCGTGGGAAAGCCAGGCAACCCTTGCTCCTCCACCGTCCAGCCATGACAGGAGTGGTTAAACAGTTTTTACACTGAGAATGTCAGGGTTTATCTGTAGCTACAGAGCACAAATCCCAGGAGGCTGCATTAAAAAAGCAGGATTTTACCAGCAGATTGTGGTACTTCTTGAGCTCAGACCTGGTTGAAGAAATGTTGGTGGAAGGAAAATTTTCCCCCAGTGAGAGCTGAGCCCAGGGGCTGCTTCTCTTTGCTGGTGAGCATGGCTTGAAGTGTCTCCTCTCTCCCTTTGTTTTACCTCTCTGAACTGTCAAGAGGTGCTGTAACATCCTCAAGGCTTAATGTTCTATGTACAGTAGGTATTTTTATAGCCTGCTTTCAAATATACTGTGATGAGTGTTTTACTACAATGGGTGTTCAGTAAAAAGAATTGTATACAAGTGTAAATAAACTGTTGTGCTGATACTTGAAGAGGAAAAAAAAAAATGAAGTTGTCTGTTCTGCGTTGGGAAGGTACTATATCAGTGACTGCATCTGACCCCGGCTGGCAAGAGCAGGTGTAAATTTGTATTTGTATTTGAATGTAGAGTTGAGGTGAATGTAGACTTGGAGTGAGTGATGGGTTCTCCTGGTTCTCACTGCCTTTCTGGGAAGGCACAGTTGAGAAATGCAGATTATTGTCACTTTCTAAAAGTGTATGTCCCCCCCTCCTGACAGAACAGTCACTGACAGGGGAGGGGAAAACCCTTGTCTGTATTTGTACCCATTTACTTTACTGCCTCTGACTGTTACTGCACTTGCCTGGCTCAGATGCAGCCTCTTGAATGGGATTAAACTGTCTTGTCTTACATTGTTGGCCTTCGTCGTGATGTTTCAGACAAATGTAATCATTTGACGTTTGATCCAAGTAATAAAGATCAAATGCTACAACGTGCACCCCTCTGTGTTTCTTTCCATGTCCCTTCCTGGTGGCTGAAGTGCCAGGTGAGCGTTCCTGCACCTCAGCAGGTTTCCACAATTTCCACAGGCGTAGGAATTGCAGCTGGGTTAAGAGAGCTTATCCATAAGCTTGAGAATTAAATTCATTCACCCCACTGATTGCTTTGCTCTGCGAATAATTGTAATTTAAGTAACAAACTCAGTAATGGAGGAAGGAATTGGAAGAACTGATTAAATAAATACAAGCCAAGATTCGCATGCAGTGAAGAGAAAGGTAAGACTTTATTAGTTTTACCTGGTCATTGGTATTAAGATCTGATCCATGCCCTCAGAGCTACACTGTTCTTATGTTTTCTTCCAAATGCTGCCTGTCAGTACAAGTTTGCATGCAGAGATTAGGTGGAGGGCATTAAATTTGCAGGGGTACTTGTCATTCTGAAGGATAAGGACAAAATTAATTACTGCTTTGTGGTTTAGAGTTACATACTCAGATTTTCATGTCTTCTTGATGGCTGTATGCTCCTGGGTAGGTAACCAGTGTATCCTCTCTGCTAAGTGGGAGGAGTCTTTTCATTGTTTTTCACTCCACTGTGTGTTTCCGTTTGGAGGGGAGGTGATTTTTTTGTTTGTTTTAGAGCTTTCTGGACAAAATCCTTTAATACCTCCATCTTCTGTAGTATGAGGATGACCCAGACCTGATGGGTGAGTGAACTCTTCACTTTTGTTGCCTGGCAGGTGGCCCTGGAGGGGGGGCAGCACTTCAGCCAGGAGGAGAAATTACTTTGTAGGGTATGTGAAGGAAAAAAACCCCAAGTTTTCTGCTCTCCCAGGGGCACCTCGCTGCTTGTTCCCCCTTGGACAGGGGTTTGTGTAAGTTTGGAAATGCCAGCTGTGTGCTGCCCCTTCCAGCCGCAATCTCTGATGGCATCCGAGTCCTGCTGGCATTACTAGAGCTGTTCTTTAGGAGAAGAACAAAGGCAGCACTGTATTCCTGTGAGCCTCTACAAAGTATTACAGCTTTCTCCAGCTCTTTCAGCAGGATTAACAGTCTGAAACTACCAGAACCTCCACAGTGCTCCTAAGAGCTCTGGAGCATTGCATAACTCCTGCGTGAACTGACACCCAGACACTTTTTTTTCCCACCTGCTCAGTGTTGAGAAAATTAATTTGCAATAGTGTTACAAGATACAGAAAGCTCCTGAGAAGCAAGGGACCTCGCCTCAGTTTGTATTTTAGGAGCTGATTGCAAAGAGAAGAGTTTAATAAGGAGCTTTACAGCAATAACATTAGCTTTTCTTACTCATTAATGGTTAAAAAAAAATCAATATTCAGAAGTAGATGTTGCAACAAAGCAGGATCTAGTTTGGTGCCCTTAATAGCAAGTGGGAGGCACAGCTGCTGTGTTACAAACAAGTAAACAAAACTGGATTTTGTGTTTGGCAGTAAAGCAGGATAATTCCTCTCGGGCAGAGCAGGCAAGTAACTCAAGAGCTCCACAGAGTCATTACCTGGCAGTTCTGTCCTGCTGGGATCAGCTGCTCTGATCGTGGTGCCTCTTTCTCTTAATAGGAATTGGCATTTAATGGCAGAACCCCACATTCCCAGGCAGGATGGGGCTGCTCTGGCATGCTTAGGTCTCTGTTGCCTGCTTGGACTGCCTTGGAATAAATGTGTAGCATTTATTCTTCAAAAGCAGCACTGAGCCATTTCCCACAGCAGCTGGTGTTACACTAGGAATCTGTGCTTTTGCCTGATTCTTCATTGGTTAATTCACTTAAAAACCAACATAAATATTTTAGGAAAGCAACCAGGGCTTACAAAGTATTATTTTTTTCCACTGTAATTTAAAGACAACTGGAGTTTAATTGTATATTGTTAAAAATCATAGAGCCATGAATGAAAGTTACATTAAACTTTCTTTTAATTGAAGACAAATAAAAGAACCAAGGGCTCAAACACATTTTAAAAAGACATCTGTTCCCCAGTGTCTTCTCTTGAGCAAAATATACAGCACATATATATATATATATATATATATAACAACTACATTCAAGTACCGAACAGAATTTACATTTTCCCAAACAGAGAAAATAATGCACATGATTCACATACCTTAAACCCAACCATGCATAAAAACACTGCCAATAAATCAGGAGTTGGACATAATTCATCACACTACTGTGTATTATTCTGAAGTATCGACAACGTCGTTGGAATGCATTAACACTTGGGAGTGTGGGTTTGTAATGTTTAACCCTGCTTTGAAGTCCAGCTGCTCAGAGACCTACTTGTTCAAGATCTGTTCAAATTTAGGGTTAATAAAAGAAAATCCATCAAATGCAGATTGATCCATGGACTCGATCAGGTTTTTGTCACTGTAGGACAATTTTGGCTTCTCACTCAGAAATTCTCTGTCAAAGTTGTTGTAGTCACTTGCTGATTTCTGTGTTAGAGAGGAAAGATAGTTTAAGACAAACTTTTTAATTTATTCCAGAACAAATTACTTAAATACAAAAGGTTGAGCTCCCTCCCTTCTTCCCCTGCTTTAGAGGAAAAAAAAAATAATTTCATTTTAGCCTATTTTAATAAAACTGTAAGATTATAACTGAGTGATTGCTTATTAGTAGTTGAAAACAAAAAAAAACCCCAAATAGCACCAGCTTGCTTTGGAGAAGAACCACATGGATTTGTGACAATGCTGCACAATTACCCAAATATTATCTATTGGCAATAACAATGCAGCATTTACTTATATGTCAACCCAGTATTTCTTGCCATTAACCAAAATGTTTATATTCCTGAGAGCATTTTACAGTCTGTACTTATTCAGAGAAAAAAAAGCAGTGTCCTATAGCAGCTGCTTTGTGTCTGGATAAAATATTTGTGTGTGTGTTTCACAAAAATTCACATTTCTAAGGATCACTGAAGACACTGTGAACCTCCAAAGGTTACTGTTTGTAGGATCCTTAGGGTTCCAGAGTTCCCACTTCTATGGCAATGTGAAACCTTGTGTTCTTGAAGAGGCCAGCTCTCCTCCATCGAGTACATAAGTCCAACTTAAAGAGCCTGTTACCTCCATATCATTTCACCTGTTCCAGTAACAGGGGTGAGGAACATCGACTTGGATTTTTAGCCAGGTGAGATGGAGCAGCAGCATCCCACAGTGCTACAGACTATGAGTTACACACAGTCTGTTCTTCAGATGTTTTTTTTCAGGTAACATCAGGCATGTACATTAATTCTAAATTCAGCAGCATAGAGAATGCATCGTTTTGCCCCCTTGGAGACTCTCCAGTTGGTTTGAAGCAGCAGAAATGCAATGCTTGCACAGAACACCTGCAGGCAGGTACCAGCAGAGCAGCCTCAAGCTACTGGTGCTTCTCCCATGTGGCATTGCAGAAAAGGAAACCACAAGGAACTATGAACATTTCTAACCCAGAGGAGAACGGGGATCAAACTATCCGTTGGTTTTCCTGAAGATTTTATTCATGAAGAAGCTCCTTGAGAGTGCACAGGAAAGCAAGGCTTAATAGGAAGATTTCTGGGCAGTCAAAGCAATACAGTACACCTTGTTATAACTGAACCATCCAGGAACAAGAGGGTTACATATATATAACTCTGTCATTTGTAAATTTGAGGAGACAATGGCAGTAGGATACTTTGAGCAAGTCACCCCTTCCCCTGAAGCTGCTGTTTGCTACAGAACAAAGAACAACTCACGTACCACTTTTGGCTTGAAAGGAGGGTCCACCTCCCTCTTCTCTAGTGCTGTCCAGTTGATTGTTTTGAAGAAAGGATGGTCTCTGATATTCCCAGTGACCCCAAGTCGTTTTGCTGGATCCCTTTCAAAGAGCTGCAAGAGAAGACACCTGGTAAAGCCTTTCATCTGCTCAAAAGGTACGTGGCAGGGGAAGAATAACAGATACACTGCTGAAAACTGAGGTTGCTGACAGTAAACAGTTCATTAGTAATTAATCTGACTTGGCTTTCCCTTTGTGAGAGCAATTTGCTTGCTGAGAAACAGCTCCTCTTCAAAGCCTAGATTTGCCCCTCCTTGGACATATTGGGACCTACATGTTGATCATCAGTCCTACCTTTTCTAATATATCCTTTGATTCCTTGGTAATCCAGCGTGGGTAGTGAGGGGTGTCCACTCGGATTGACTCAAACAGTTCATCCTCATCGTCCCCGTGGAAAGGGGACTGGCCAATCAGCATCTCATACAGCAGGACCCCAAATGACCACCAGTCCACAGAGAAGGTGTACCGCAAACCTTGCAGGATCTTGTTCCGCAGAGGAAGAAGGACAAGCAGTTAGTAAAAGGAAGCAATATAGCCCAAAAACCAGGAGAGGTATTTTAAGAGAGAATCTTTAATAACTAGGGCATTTAGGGAAAGAAAAGAAATCCATCTCTCTGAGAAACTGTGGACACTGATGCACATCTGCGGTTTTATACTTGGCTGCTGTTTGTGGGAACGTGGCCAGCTCTGTGGACAGGTCTTTGCTCTCATTCAGAAGTTTTCTCCATTAACTTTAAATAACCATATACTTGGAAAACATCTTCTCTAGTGTCTTTACAAGATGAAGGGAGAAGCAAGTAGTGTTGAAAAGTAACTTACCACTAGACAGGCTTTGACATAATTTATAGCTCTAAAACCTAACACCTTAGTTGGGCTACTTTGCAAATAAGATTTAAAAAAAATACAACACAGGGAATTTAACTCAGTGAGATTCCCCTTAGAAGCTGCTTTTGTTTTAATTCTAGTTGTTTGCAGGGGCACAAGTCTGTTCTCCATCTGCAGTGCATATAGAGATTCATTCTGTGGGAGCCCTCTGTGTGTGCTGGCTACAAAAAAACCCAAACTCTTAAAAAAAGAGCATTTTAACTTTTCAAAACCATGCTTTTAAACTTGCAGCTGTAAAATACTTAAGAATTTCAAGTACTTTCTATAAAGAACTCAGGTATAATTTTTTTCTCCATGCTAATTAGACTTG